TTTTTATTTTAGCTTAGAAATAGAGGGGGTCAAGCTTAATAAAATTTTTAGTAATTATAAAAAAATATATAAAAAAATATTTTAGCGGCCAAATATGGCCGCTAGACGGTTTAAGGGATAATTATAAAGTAATTAATAAGAGACAATAGATCGTATGATCAACATGTGATGTAACAGTTAGAGTCAAACTATGTATATAAGTTCGAAGCAATAATAATAATAAAGTTAGTCTTAGTTAGTAGTAGTATTGCTCTTATAATTAATAAAAGTTCACTTAAGTAATAAACTTGAAATTGGTATTAGCAAAGCAATCAAGTCTCGCCGTTTGGTCTAGGTTATTCTTTGAATCACTTTCCTGTAGATATATTATTGCCTAAAACACTATAAGAAAAAAGGCGTTATATGACTATATCGCATATCAAAAATTATATCGTTATATATCATATAATAAACAATAGTGACATATAAACATATCGCATAATAAACAATAGCAACATATAAGTATATCGCATGCTGAAACAAAAGAAAAAAACTTATAATATAAATATTGTGCTATAATGCTGATCAGAATCACTTTACTTGCTGTAAAATACCAAAATAAGTTTTAAATATTTAATCGATAATATGAGTGCAGCAGCCCTTATAGAAGCTAATTTGGATGAAATAATAGAAATGCAGTATTATAAGTAAGAGAATAACAAGTAAAAACAATAAATAAACTATTAATATTCTGTAAAAATTACTATAACTATTTGAAATTTGCAAAAAAACTGGAGAAAATTATTTATACTTAGACAATACTGAATTTGAAGAGATGATTAATACAGCAGGTGATTTTTTGACAACTCAAGAAAAAAGCATGAATAATATAAACCATACCAATGAGAATAATGCAATTAACAAATTAAGTGAAAATGAAGATATCAGTAACACAAATGGTAAGACTTACCAATGATTGTGGATTATTTTTTCACACTATAATTCATACTAATATCTTATACTAGTACTAGTTTTAGTACCATCAGAGAACATACTAAAAAATGCAACATTTGGTATGTGGGAAGAAGTCAAAACATTTTTTAAAGACTATGGTATTAGAAATGGCTTCGCAGTTAAAAAATATAAAATAAGATGTACCAAAACGGGTGCAATATTTAAAAGGACCTTTAGCTGTGAATTCAGTGGAAAATATAAGCCCAATAAAAGTCAAGAAGCAGCTCTAAAAGGAATGCAATAAAACACAAGAACAAAAAAATCAAATTGCCCTTAGCATTGTAATCTTTTATTAGCTGATAGTAATTTTCAAATTAAAAATAACTACAATGGTTAATAGGCACAATCATGAACTTTTACCTAACACCCAAAAATTTGCAATCAAGTATCGGTCTTTAAGCGAAGAAGCTTTAAAAGAAATTGAATTAATGACCAAGTACAGAAATCTGGCGATTACTTCACAGAGAAATATACTTAAAGCCCGTTTTTTGGATATGAACTTCCAAGACATTGACCTTGCTAATACTATTAATAAATTCAGAAGAGCAAAAAATTCTAACATAACAAATGACGTATCTATTTTACTTGTATCATTAATAGAAAAAAAAGCTGCTGATTTACAGTGGACAATTAATTTTGATCTTGATGATGATAATCATTTGATTAGGCTTTTCTGGATGTCACCTAAACAAGCCAATCTATAGTTAAAGTATTACGACATAGTAATTAATGACAACATGGCAAGAACAAATCAATATCAAATGCCCCTCTCTTTCTTTATTATAATCGACAATAATAGTAAATCAAGACTTGTGTGCCAAGCGTTAGTCGGCAATGAGACATTAAAAACATATATATGGATCCTAAACTGCATCAATAAAGCCACAAATAAACCATCTATTGTATTATTCACAGATTCAGATCCTGCATTAAACACTGCTATATCTAGTGTTTTTCTAACAACATACTTGGCTCATTGCATATATCACATCAGGCAAAACCTTCCTAAGAATCTAAAGTTAAAGCTGGGAAACAAATAGGAAGAATTCATAAAAAGTTTTTATCAATGCAGGAATAGTCTATATAAGGCTCTTTTTAATAAAGGATAGAAAGATTTGCTTGAAAAATACCCTATGACTAATGATTATTTGCTCAGGGTTCTTGGCCCAAGTTGTCAATTGTGGGCACGTGTATACTTATATAAAATTTTCATGGCTGGCATCGAAAGCACTGCACATATAGAGGAATATAACTAGATAATTAAAAAGAAGTTAAGAGCAAACAGCACACTTTGTGAGCTTGTTGATCGTCTAGATCAACGATTAAAAGACAAGACACAGTGAAAACAGTTTCATGAGTACAGAGTATCAACTACAGTGGCAACAGTGCCTATGACTAGTCAGAGTCTCTTTCCTGAGATAGTTGATATGTTGGATAAATATACTACTAAAACAATCAGCGACAAATTTAAAGTCGAAATGGGTCAATGCCTTTATATTAACGCAAACAGGATTGAGCCTACAAATGAAGAATTAACTCAAGAACAGGTAACCAAAGGTTATTGTGAATAATTAAAATGATATCAGATTAAAATGAAACAAGATAGAATAAAACTTTGCTTTTTCAATCTTGACTTGATCCACAATAAAATTGCTTGTAGTGTTTTAGAGTTTGGATTAGGGCTAAAATTGTTAATAAAAGAGTATAAGTAAATTATAAGGGCTTAATAGTGTCATTTTAATCTGATTACATTTAAATCTGAAATAGTCATTAATAATTCTAATATTGGAATAAAATAGAAAAACGATAAACAAGCTTACGATGGGTTTATAAAAGATCAATATGACGTGAGGAATATAACTATTCAGGCTATAATTGACGAAATTGGACATGAAAATATTAAAGAAATTTGGAAAGTTACTGATTTGCATGCCGAAAAAAGGTATCATATTCATTTTGTAGTAATTGTTAACCAGATTTCTTTTTTATGTTCCTGCCTTATGAGTATTTCCAAAGGCATTATATGCCACCATTATTTTCGTGTAATGATGCATTCAAAAATGGCTGCATTTTATATATTCATGATACCTACTTGATGGTATAAGGAACCATGTCAAGACCATGAAATATTGAAAGAAGATAATATAATATTCAACAATAAAAAAGTTATGCTTAATTCTGCTTTGAATAATTGTACAATTCTAACATGCAAATCAGTCACCAAACCAGTTACCGCATCAATCACAAAAAAAACTGTTGATAGAAGGAATCAATATGGCCAAATCTGGGGACTTGCACGTGAAGCCACTCAGCTTGCTCTAGACAACGATAATAGTGAGATAATTCAGTTCCTAACAAAATATATTGATAAAAAGAAAAAGGAGCACCAAGCAATTAGAAGTCTACAAGATGCTGCAACTGATCAAGAACAAAATGACTCTATAAATCAATCAGCTAAACAACGTATGACTAATCTAGGTACAAATACAAGAGTATTACAAAAAAATTCTGAACCTGAGCTAGAAAGTGAAGAAGAATCTGAAAATGAGGCTATAGTAAACCTCATTAGTGTTAAGAATCCCTCAAAAGTTAAATGAAGATACGAAAGTAGTGTTAAAAAAGAACAAAAACAAAAACATGGTAGAAATTCTGTTCATAGTTCATATAAGTGCCGAACGTGTGGCCAAATTGGTTATAACTCTGCATTTCATAAAAAATAAGTGTGTTCAACCTGCAGTTATCACAACACATAGTAATGTATAAAGTTATTTTAGTGTTACATTTATCATATAATTTGAATAAATACTTCTGTACTTACGAAAGTCTATAACTATATTAAGCAATTGTATTGTATTAATGTTATTATGCGTGTATACTAACCTGAATAGGTTAATACAGTTACATATGTACAACTAAAATACAAAAATACTGTAATGTTTTTTCACTTGAAATGTCCAAGCCACGTATGTACATACTATGCATACCCAATCATTTTGGAGTAGATATAATCTAAGAAAATTTACAAATGTACATATGGTTAGCAAACCAAAATTTACAAGTGATCTCTTTTTAATAGTTAGGGACGAACTAGCTTCATTAACCATATTCATTAGGGCTATGCAATTAAGAATCTGATATAGTGAATTCCAAAATTATTAAACTCTAACTTAATATAGTAAAACACATATAGTATTCTCTCTATAGTGAAGATTTTTTCTCATCTCAGGGACTTCAATATACTGCTACGTATAACTAGAGTAAGTTGATGTTAAGGTGCAACAAATAAGAGTATCGTATATACTATAATTAATTTTACTATATTTGGCAATATTTAATAGTATCGCACTCAAAAGCAATATATATGTGTAATGCAGAGATGTGACGCCTATTTAACTCCTTTATATTTTATTTAATTTATTTTTAAATACAGCATTTTATAATTATTATTATTTTTTTTTTATTAATATAATGTTATAGTAGAAACTTTATTACAATAAACCTATATTAATCTAGAGATTAATGGTCC